GTGAAGCTTATCCCCATTAACTTGCAAAAGACCGCAGATCATGACCCAGCAATTTCCGCCGCGCCCCACTCAGTGTTATACCAACATCCGGTTCTTTTTAGTTTGCAGGTGGCCTTTAAGGCTTTTCCACGTATGAAAACACAAAGTGACGGTAAGTGTAGCAGTGCGTCATGAGCACTATACATACGGTGACCAGACGTCCCGATTTTGGCGGGACAGTCCCGCTTTTTACCAAGCTGTCCCGCTAAGTTTTCATCGAAAAGCGGGACGTTGAACTGTCCCGCTTTTGCATTTGCGTCCCGCTAAAATCCCGCTTTTTCCAACTGTATTTTTCCCCAGAAAACTATTCATATGCAACATCCTGCTAGAAATAACTTACTTGAGGTTTAAATGTTCAAAAAATTGCTTTCGATTTGCATACAGTCACACTTTTTTACCAATGCACTCACACTTTGCAAATTGTCTACCAGCTGGAAAGCAATTTTTTGAACGTGTAAATGCAGCGTTAATACAAGTGAACGATCGGTGAACCAATGGGTCGCAACTCCCGCAGTGGCACCAATGTCAATTGAAAAAAAGAAAATGGAAAAAAACACAACCAAGTGTATTAGTGGATAATAGCTTTGAATATCAAGTGGCTTTATTATCAAATAAATCAGTGGGTGTACAATATGATTACCTTTTAATATGTATCGCTGGGTGATGGCTGAAGTCGTCCGGTCTCCTTGATAGCTCGAATGAAGTGAAAAGGTCCCGCTTTGACAAAGTTAAGTTTACCCGCCGGCAGCCAACTGCTCGGAGGGGAAACTTAACGAAATTATATTACAACGGGAAATAATACATTTATTGCTAACGGCGTAGCAATAAAGGTAGGCCGTAAATATGCCAGAGTATGTTTGTGTGGTCGGCTCAAGTCAATGCACTTTTACATTAGGGTGGTTCGACCTTTAAATCATTTGGTTTTGCATGAAGGCCTAAACATGCCGGCCCCCCTTGCTATCAGCAACATCGGTCGAGCGCTTCAGCCACCACGCCGGACTGAGTACTAAGAAGTAGAAAAAAAACAGTCTAAATATATGTAAAATAACAATTCATTTGAGAAAAAAAAGATTATTATTGTTTCCAGTGGCAGGATGCCTCCAAGTCCACGTCTTAGTTTCCTAGCTAATGAAAGAATAAAAGGAAGAAATACTAATGAAAAAGGTATGGTTGAACATTTCAGAGCACATTTATTGATAAAAAATTTCAAAATTCAGTAAAAAATTCATGTTTACAAAAAAAAATCAAAAATTGAATTTAGGAGCGACATACTCCTGAGAGCATCCATCCAAAAATTGTGCTTTGGGCGATAAAGGGACCAAACGTGTTTGGGAGCATACCCGGCAGTACGATGTCTGGGTATACGTCGGCTCCCAGTACTAAGCGAATCGGTGTCGACGTATAAAAGTTTGGATCCGCTAATCGTATGTGCGTATACGCTGTCGCTACTGACGGATCGACGCTACTAGTGGGGCTAACACGGACGTAATTGTTTATCGTTGTGGCGTAGATAGCCAACCTGGTGTTCTGGCCGTGTTTTCCCCTCAGACGCAGTAGACAGCCACGTTGGGTTCCGAAATTTGAAACGTCAAGCCTGAGTTTTACCGCTAAATCTGTCGCAATTATAGAAGTCGGAGAGCATACGTCGATTAACGCGCGTATAAGGTGCAGCCGTCCACGAGCTTCTATTTTTACCACGACCGTCGGAGCAATAGACGTCACCGGTCGTAACGCTTGGGTTTCGCGTGCGAGTCGACCCGCTCGAAATGCGATGGATAGCTGGCGAGGCCTCGTCTCCAGTCTACCCTGATCGCGATTGGGCCTGTTTGACTCCTCTCGCTTTTGCCGCAGGCGGAAAGGCCTAGTTTCCGCTCTACGGTTCTGCCGGGCTGTTGACCGCGGTCGGAAAATCCGTGTTTCCGATCCACGTTCTCGGCGTCGTTCGTGCGCTAACAGGGGTCGGAAAGGCCGAGTTTCCGATCCTCTGGTTATAGTCGGGAGGGGAGTCCCAGATTCCGGTGTGGATTCTGCTGGTTCATCTTCTAGACGGAGCGGCCTGGTTTCATCTGCGTGGTCGGACGCGTTGATAGATAACGCGCGTTCGGACTCGTCCTCACTAGCAACTTGCTCGCTCCATGGGCGTGTATCAATCGGCTGAAGGGGTTCGGATTCGTCATCCATGTGCAGCGTTGTGTGGTGTTTTTCGCGGCACCGACGACATCTTTCTTCGCTCGTGCACTCGTCAGACCGATGCATCATGGACAGGCAGTTTCCGCAGAAGCGACCAATCAGTGCCTCCCTCAGTCTCTCTTCGGGAGTTTTACCGCGGAATAATGGACAGAGTCGTATCGGATGCATACCTTGGCATAAACGGCACGCTAGAGCAAAGCGGTTTGATTGTTGCTCGGCCTTTTTTCTCATCGAGGTGAAGCGAGTCATCGTTGATGTCTGAAATCATTATTTTTTCCCTTTTGTGTATATTTGGCTATATAGATATACGTACTTGTATATATATGTATATTATGGTTGGGTGGCGAGTAGCAAAGAAACTTTATTATGTGTGGTTATTGTAAATTTCGTATATTTTATGGTACGGGTGGTCTCATATATCACTGTCTTGTGATAGTGTATAGTGTGCATAATATTGCATGAGTTTTGCATAAAGTGTGTGGGGCACCTCATGTTTATGCATCGACACACGGTTATCGACTTTGATTTCTGTGCTCGCATCGGTGAGCTGTCATTTTGTTAATTTGTGTAATTACAAGGCCTGCCACCCAAAACAAAAGTAAGTAAGTAAGGGCAACCAAAAAAAATCGCAGATAGGAAGTGGGCTGGAACGCCTGACAACTTGATTTAAGGTAACTAAAACCATGCATAGTATTTGTTGATGAGCCTTGTAAACAATAAATTATAGGTCCGGAGCAAATCGGCAATGCAAACTAATCACAAGCTTGAGGGATTTTGTGTTTGTAAGGCGTTGCAGTTAAGAAGCAAAACAATAACCTCATGGCCCATTAAAATGGTTAATAGCAAACAAATACATTGGGGAAAAGGAAGCAGCAGAAGTAGCAACAACAAACAACAAATCACGATATCTCTTTTAGGCAATTTAGTTATGTTTTCACATTTTATTTATAAATGCTTTAGTGACTGCCAACTTGGCTGTGGCTAACAATGTGGCCGTCTTGATTTTTATACAAACTATATTGAGAACAAAAACTAAATGCTTCATTTCGATAAATAAACCGATTCAGATAAAAAGTTAGAACAAAGTATGAATTTAGTGATATGTATTTCGAAGATTTCAGCAAATGAATTTAAACGTTTACTGTTTTCCGATATTGTGTCTATGTAATTCCTAACCACGGTTATCAACTTTGATGACTGTGCTCGCATCGGTGAGCTGTCATTTTGTTAATTTGTATAATTACATGGCCTGCCACCCAAAACAAAAGTAAGCTCATTATTTGTTCGCATGGTGCGGAACATCGCAAGTGCTTATCAGGGTGCGAAAATAGGTTGTACAAAACAATTCCCATTTGCTCATCGATCATCATATCATTTGTAGTTTTATACAGTTTTGTACATAGTCAGAACCAACTTGTAAGATTCACTTTCATTTTCCCCAACGAGAGACTGTTGCTTTTCGTTTGTGACAATTGTACCATAGGGTACGTTTTATATGTATGCAAACGTTTCGATTACGTGAAAAATATATTTCTTTTTTCGTAAATTTTCATATTCAATTTAATTAAAAGACATGTACTACATACATACATATCTTTTTCTCTGCACAATTCATTTCGTTTGTTGTTTCGTCTGTAACTACTAAACTACTGTAGTGTACTATCGCAAAGTAAACTCAGCCGTTTTGTTTTCGTATTGCACCGAACTCTTGAAGGACTAAACGAAATGAAATAGTAACGTGCATTATAGTTTATTTTCGTACACCGGTGCTTATATATGTGCTTGGGAGTATCACAACTTAATGCTTTATTTGAAAATTACTAAGTTGGAGGGCCCTTCAAAATTTAATAACTCATGATTTTATTAAAAAGGAAAAGCATATTTAATACGCTTTGCTTTGTCCCGAGCAAATCTAAGTAGTTCGCCGGTATCGAGTTGCGTAGTAGATTTTCAGTTTACCGATCGTACGGGAGTCCGAACCCTGGCTGCGCTGTCAACCAAGAGCGTAAATTGAAATTTACGTTCTTGTATTATAGATGTGCTGAGTCCACACATATGAGTATTCATACCTACTCGGTACCTATTTAAAAGTATCCAATACTTTCGACACTCGGTGTCGGACTATTAAACAACTTCTAACAAAAGCGCACGACAGCCAAACGTATGGAAGAAATTTTTAGAGATAAAGCTCATTAGCGAACTTTGAGGCGATGTCTTACAACTTCCAATTGGAATAAATAAATGAATATGTATATATATATATATATATATATATATATATATATATATATATATATTATTACTAATTTTTTTTTTTTATTAAGGGGCTATGTACGGAATTCTTTGTGAATACTGAGTCCACAGCGCCTTCAGGGAGTACAGAACAAAAAATTAAATAACTGAAAGTCATTCGTTGTCGAAATTCCAGAGAACGCTTCATTTTTATGTGAACCTTTATTATTCTTTTGAAAAAAAACAAAATGGATGGGTCCGACATTGTGCAACAGGTGATTTAAGTGTACTTATATTACTACTAAGGTATATTGCATTGAATCGGTATCGGTTACCAATACCGAAACTTTGGGTACCAAGTATTGGGGCAACTCCGCACATCACTATTTTTTAAAAATGAGACTTTCATTGATGGCAATTGCAGCACATATCACAATTTCCTGAATGGCACGAGTGATTACGATGCGGTAAGTTGCGTATTTTTCTCATAGTATTTTAATGTGATATTTTTTTACCTTCTACTTTTAGCTTTCTTTGGAGATATTCCACCCAAAACCCTCATTCATCCGAGTACGGCATATTTACAACTCGCAATCGAGTTCGCCTGAAGGATGAATGAGGAATTATGGTATGCCGAATGGATAGCTTTTAAACGCGTGTTTCCACGTTACATGGAAATAAAATAGCAATCCCGGTTGGATCAATCGTCTCATTTAATTTCCTTATCGTGTACGTGTATGCAGTAAATATAAATATTTACCTATTTGCCCCCACCAATAGTGTAACGTCATTAAGCGAACAAACTCATTTGGAATAGCCGGCAAAACACCAAAATCCAAAGCGAAAGAAACATCCAAAGAATTTTGACAAAAAAACGCTGTGCGCTTGAATCACCTAACGATTTTCAGAACGCGAGGCATACATCCACTTTCACGTTCTGCTGTTCTCTGCTATATTTTCCGTCTACTTGAACAATACTGTCGTGCGGTTGGTTTTCTAGCGAACATCGTAAGAAGCTATTACCTAACTGAATATATCATGTCTACTTCTGTGTATGAAGGTGTTGAAAAGGGGCCAGCCATTGAGGTGTTTGCCCTAAATCGGGCATTTTGCAGATATTCCACCCAAAACCCTCATAGTGATTTAGTGGAAAATCGTGAACTCGGAAAAAGCCAACCATTATTGAAGTATCGTGAAATATGAATTAATATAATATGAATCTTTTATGTAAAACCTATTATCTCACTAATATCTTTTCGTTTCCATTTCAGATGATGCTGGATTTAGCCAAAAAGTGTTTGCAAAATAGCGCACGACAAATCACATGCATTTGGCCAAAACTTCTGTATCGATTGTGCGAATTTGAAGTCTTGCAGGATCTGTATCGCACATATTATGACATACATGCGCGTGTTTATTCATCATTACTCCATGGTTATGAGTTGTATTTAAAACAGTTTACATCGAATCAAAAGGATTTAATTTCTGCAACCACGAGGGTTATGAACAACGCCAAGGAAAGCGAATTCTTTGCCAGCACCGTTGGTAATTTGTCTGGTAATTTTTCCCGGAATATTGTGAGTACTATAACCTTCTTTATTATTAGACTGCTTTTACACAGTTCAAGTATTGAATTCCATTCTGCTCGCATGTGGAAGAGAGGGGGTGAGAACAAAAGGGACGAGTACACATGCGTCTGTACCGTCAAGTCGTTTAAACTTTCTTGCTTTGCTTTTGGCATTTTCGTTGCTTCCCATTTAACGAACCAAACTTGAATTCAACAGAATTGAAACGTGTAAAAGCAAATAGAAAACACAAAGTACCTGAATCATGTAAATCGGGTGTAATGACGAAAGTCCATAACCATCCCTTGCGGTGATATGTAGGAGAGCGCTGCATGAATGCATTCAAACGGCGTATGAATTATTCATATACAAAACGAATGAATGATTTTAGCTTAAAATTTTTATTTTTATTTTATTTTTTTTTTAAATCTGAGTGAATAGCTGTTCAGATATATGTGTCGACAAAGTGAAAATAAATTGAATTGATATAAATGTCAACTTTTTGTATGAATATCCAGAAATATTTTTTCTTCGTACATATGTACAAACATACATATGTATGTACAGTGGCTCACAACTTATTTCGTGTAGTCAGTGATTAAAAGAAAAACGTGTAATATTTTGTCTATGTGCTTTATTTTTAAAAAAAACTTTAATGAGCTTTTAATGGTGTATGTCTGCGACATACAAACACCAACAAACAAACCCAAAATATTAAATTTTTGTATAGAATTTCGACAACAAAAACATAACACATTGTAAAACGACCTCACAGCTTATTTCGTGTACCGTAACAAACTTAAACCTTTTCTCTTATGTGTTTTATTTTAATTATAAATTTTCTAGTAACTAATATTTAGTAGGATAACCCTTTTGTTTTAAAACTGAGTTCAGCCGAGATTGCATGGAGCTAACAAGCTTTTTGGTGTAATCGGGTGTTATTCTCTCCCACTCCAATTGCAATGCCGTTTTCAAGTCTTGCCGGTTGCTTATTTGATGTTTCCTTATATTTTTTTCAAGAACACTCCATAAATTCTCAATAACATTGAGATCGGGCGATTGTGCTGGCGTTTCAACCACATGTGGGCAATTCCAAATAAGCTAAGATCTAACAACTCCCGATTTGTGCTTCGGGTCGTTGTCTTGGTAGAACCTAAACTGCTCCCGGATACCCAATTTTTCAGCACTTTGTAGTAAATTATTTTTCAACAAATTCAAATAAACTGTTTTATTCATTATTTCTTCTATGAAAACCAAGTTTCCGACACCCGCTGAGGACATACAGCCCCAAACCATTACATGGCCTCCACCGTGTTTTACTGTGGCGCGCAAATTTTTACGTTGCAGCTCTGTATTAGGTTTGCGCCACACGAAAGATTTCCCATCGGAACCAAAAAGGTTAAATTTACTTTCGTCTGCAAAAATTACTTCATTCCAAAACGTTTCGTCTTTATTAACGTGGCTTTTGGCGAACTCCATTCTGCTTTTTCTATTGCGCTCACTAATAAATGGTTTGTTTCGGGCTGTTCGTCCATGAAAGTCAGCACTTCGAAGAATCCTTCTGATTGTTTCTGGATGACATGACTTTCCAAGCACGTTATCTACCTCTTTTGCCAAAGCTGTTGCACTCTTTGTTGGATCTTTCTTAATTTTTCTGACTATCCACTTCTCATCGGCCGCTGTAAAAATTTTATTTGGCGCCTCTCGACCTTTGTCAGCCACTCTATTTTCACGGACAAAGCGTTGTATTATGTACTGAACTGTAGAAGCACTTAAATTTACATTTTCCGCAATTTTTTTCTGAGAACTTCCATTTTTAAATAACTGAATCACTAATTCGCGCTTTTCAATAGACGTACGGCGACCCATCGCGGTATTTAAATTAATATTCGCGTCCGATCTTTTACAACACCAAAATTACACTAAGAAATAATCTACTGAAACATTCAAAGTAAATTGGTGTATTTCTCTAACCAGCACATTGGCGCCAGTAACGGTAAAAGTGTCCGTACGAAATAAGATGTGAGGCTGTCTTACTATGAATTTGGTTTTTGTTGTACAAATTCAATTTAAAAGAAAATCATTTTGGACTTTTTTGTTTCTCATTACAGTTCAAGTATCTTTGAATGTACATTTTCGATTTTTTGAAAATCTAGCACATATGCAAAATATTACGAATTTCCTTTTTAATGAATTGACACACGAAATAAGCTGTGAGCCACTGTATGTATGTATTGCTGCGCTCCTATTACATACGAGAAAACTTGTGTGCCGAAATGAGTTTGAATGATTTAAATGTTTTCCATTCATTCAGTCACATTCTTCCATTTAAAGGTAGACAATTTAAAACAAAATGTATATTCATAACTTACAAAATTCCAAACGCTGAGTGTTTTGTAAGTGAAGTAAAATATTCAAATGTACTGTACTCTGTTTGGCTAGAAGTTTGAATGAATTCATGCAGCCCATATACACATTATGTAGGCAATTCTTCGATATAAAGATTGCGACACAATTGTATTAATTTCGCAAGGTTAGGAGGAATAAAAACATGTAGGCAACTTACCGCTCCTCCCAACCTTTTTACCCGAAAGCTTCTAATAAGATATACTTTAAATAAGATTAAAGGAATCTTGAATATTTTTTGAATTTGGTGGACGTAGTATATTATGTTCGCGCAAACTCCATTCGTTTATAATGATTTCCTGGGGTACGTGTGTATGTGTATACATATCAAAAGCACGTATGCATTCTAACGTTAATTTTAGCGTTTACCAAAATAAACCAATCGTTTCTGTTGAAACAATTCAGTTTCTTATCATTTAGGTAATTATCAAAATAATTCTATTCTTGTTTTTAACGAAAAGAAACGAAATTATTTTGATAAGTTATTTTTGCGCATCAACAAAACGAAATCGATTCATATAGTTTGTTGAGCATCCCGCAGTAATGATTTATATTCGTATGATAAAGTGGACTGTATTATGTTGCGAATTGTGGTTGTGGAATAAGTTAGGCTTTTATGAAATGGAGTTGTTACTTGGTTGCGATTCGCTGTGTTGTTGATCACAGGGGGGTAGTAGAACCAGCTTGACTACAGGTCTAGTAACCTGTCCTCTTTCAGTCATGAGGTCCACTACTCTTGCCCTATTGTCTGCACCTAGATGGACGTTAACTACCCTTCCAAGTCTCCATTCGTTTGGCGGCAGGTTATCTTCTTTGATGATCACGAGGTCTCCAATTTTCATATTGGCTTGCGGATATCTCCATTTGTTGCGTTTCTGCAATTCCGTGAGATATTCACTTTTCCACCGTTTGCAAAACGTGTGGTGTAGAGCCTTGAGCCTCTGCCATCGATTTACAATCGAGGCACGATTTACATCAGCGTCTATTTCTGGTGGAGCTAGTATGTGTCCACCGATTAAGAAGTGGCCTGGAGTCAGTGGCTCCAGGTCTCCTGGTTGATTTGATGAGGGACTCAGGGGTCGAGAGTTGAGACAGGATTCAACTCTGCATAATAGGGTTGTAATTTCCTCAAACGTGTATTTGTGGTTGGAAGCAATTTTCGTAAAGTGGCTTTTAAAACTTTTAACTCCCGCTTCCCACAGTCCGCCCATGTGGGGAGCTGAGGCGGGAATGAAGTGCCACGAAAGCATTTGGTGAGCGTATTTCGCCAAAGTGTTATCGCGGGCGTCTTTTAAAAAGGCTTTTGTTTCGGCTCTCAGAGCTCTAGAAGCTCCCACAAAATTGGTGCCATTGTCGGAATAGATATTTTTTGGACAGACTCGTCGTGCGATGAACCTGGCAAATGCTGCTAAAAACGACTGAGTGCTCAAGTCCGAAGTGGCTTCCAAATGGATTGCCTTTGTTGCGAAGCATACAAATAGGCAGACATATCCCTTTGACATGCGACAACCTCGGCCGCTATAACTTTTAATGTCAAATGGCCCTGCGAAGTCGACTCCCGCATTTGTAAACGCTCGCGAAAATGTCGTTCTTTCCTTGGGAAGAATTCCCATTAACTGCGTTTGCGATAAATCGTGCACGCCTTACAGTTATGAATTGTGGACCTAATCAAGTTTTTGACCCTAGGTATCCAGTACTGTGTTCGGATCAAGCGCAGCATGAGCTGATTCTCACCATGCAGGGAAATTTTGTGAATAAACTGAACTATGAGACGGGACAAGGTGCAATTATAAGGCAGGATGATTGGGTGACGCTCTTTGTAGGCGAGATCACGAGATGCTCCCAGCCGTCCACCTGTTCTCATTATACCGTCTTTGTCGATGAATGGGGTAAGGGGCAATACTTCACTTTTAGAACCTACTGATTTTCCTGATACTAATGCTGAATATTCCTCACCATAATGCTGCTTCTGGCAAACTAGTACTAAGCGTTGAGTCGTTGCTTTAATTTCATCAGCTGAAATTAAACAAGATTTCGCTTGAAATGAAGCTTTGGTATTTGGACGGGTTCTTTGGGAGAATCTCATTACGTATGATAGCACTCTCAAAGCTCTTGGAAATTCAGAAAACCTATCAAGAATATCAGTCTTACTATCCATTGTTGTTATATGAACTTGTATCCTTTTTTCTTCAACGGTTGTGTTATAGTCCTTTCCTTGAGTGGGCCATTTTGAGTGGTCTTCTTGAAGCCAAGAAGGGCCCTCCCACCACAGGGAATTGTTTATTAATTCTTGCGCCGTAAGTCCTCTGCTG